CTTCTCTTCTCTTCTCTTCTCTTCTCTTTTCTGTCTCTTCTCTTCTCTTCTCTTCTCTATTCTTTTGCTCCACCTCTGCTTTTTATCTGTTCATATTGTCGGAAGTTTGGCTCCTAAACTTCCTTCGGTGATATGCTGTATAGTTGACAAATTAGTTAATTTACTATTGGTTGATATTAGGGATTAATAGGCATTTACAGTTTGAACAGCACACACACATTGATGTTCGGAATCCCGGTTTCTTGGTGAGGTTGCAGGCCCACCACCAACGACGTTGTCCGCAACACCCACCGTAGCTTGACACACAAGGAGTCTCCGACATTTTGTCCGAGAGTTTCTTTAGCATGTGAATTATTGGGAATTCTACGGGGCTTGGAGTTTTTTGCCATGCCTCACAGAGATGTGGCTCCTGTTACTTTCTGATTTCAAATAATTTTGACATATTTCGACATCTTTTGGTGCATTCCTGCCAGGAAGAAGTGGCATAAAGGTGTCAGTCTGTGTGAGTGTCAGCTGATTTTCGTTGAGTTTCACTTAGGCGGGTTCCTGTGGATTGCATGTGAGCTGGGCTGCATTTGAGCTGTTGGAAATGCTGGGCCTTTTGGTACCGTCAAGGCGCCTTCTTTTGCTGGAAGACACGATTGTGGCATATTGTGACAAAGGAGATGTGCTAACATGTGCTAAGATGTGCTAACATGTGCTAAGATGTGCTGACATTTGCTAACATGTTAACGAAATGGAAGGCAACTGGAAGTGGTATGAAGTGGTTACTTGCAGTTAACCTTTCAATGGGTAGGATCACTTAGACGAGCGCTTGCAATGCCTCACCCCCCTGCAATCATGTGCCGAAGTAATTACTGGCCGTTCGAACTTCGAAGTTCATCAAAATTCCATATTAGATGTTTTGTGAGGGTTTCAAGTTTTCGAGGGCACAATCATCGGCACTGGAATCAAACAGTGCTAAGTTGATGAAACCATGATCTGATGCAACCGGGATCCGGGCAGCCCCAAGATGCCCCGAGACATGTGCCACAGCACAGCACCATTTCCTGTAAGTTCGAACGAAATTCTTGCACAATTTCACTTAACTTTTTTGGTGGCCCGGGTTTTCCCCATTAGAGGGGGCAAAGAACTCAACCAAGAGTACAAAAGTATACAAAAGTACATGCAGTGAGCATGCGGATGTGCAAGCATTCTCGTACCATCTCATACATTCTCATACCATCTCATACCAATTTGGTTGACCTCTCTTGAGTTGTGTGTGAAGCAGGTGTGGGCCAGCACTTTTCCTTGGAACAATAGATGGGGCTGGTGGAGAGGACGTGGCAATGAAACAGGAGGGATGCAGCACAGAAGCAGCATTTGGGTTCTACCGCACGCCGCATTGATTGAAAAACATCGTTGTGCGTTTGCATCGGGTATGCTATATATTTAGAATTAGTTTTATATAATATACTATAGCATTCACTTCAAATTAGTATTAGTATATATTAAAATAATTTAAAATAGTGTAAATGTTTGCATGGATGATGCATTTGCGTTTGCATTGTCATGTGGTGGACAGTTTGTTGTGGCATGTTGTGGAGTTCTGAAAGTTGGAGGCCCTCAACCTGGCCGAGAAAGCCATGAGAAGGCTCACGAATTCCTTGGACCCAGGATTGGAGGATCAGCTGTGGAATCGAACAGCTGCTTTCCAGCATTTGGTCATATGGTGCATTGGGGCGTGCTTAGAAACATGATTGAAGTGAACTTCTGCATTCGAAAAGATGGAGAGCAGAAGTGACATTGCCTTTGAAAAGGACGTATACGAGTCAAAGATGTAATCTACTGATGAAGAACTTATTTTCATACATGTTTGGTCGTTTTGTGCGTTCGTGCTCGCGTGCTCCGTGCTCCTGTGTGGATGCATGTCACTCTTTGTGTGAGTCCGCGAGAACCAACGGGTATGGTGACCTTGCCTCAGGATGGTGATCTCGTTTTTGCTATAGGGGCGATCCTGAAGGGAATGCCTACTGTAAGGCAACGGTAGTCACCACCTGTAGTCTTGAGTCGTGGATTTTTGTGGATTGCCGGATTTGCGTATCCAGGCATTTGCCATTGTGGGCTCCATTATCAAAGCATTTTTATCACCAACCCGTCAGCCATCGTCAGCTGGAAACCAGCCATGGTAAAGGACGGAGGTGATCGATGTTGATCGATGTATGATGTAAGCATAGAATTCGTTATTTGTGCTATAATTTGTTGTATCTCCTGTGCGTTCCAACTGTCCCGAAAGCGGACGCTGGAGATGCGCATTAAAGATCTTGTAGCTGTGATTGCAGATTGTTGCTGAGCATCCGAAAATGATATGATGACATGTCACAAGTGAATCGTTGGTGCATCGTCAGTTCGACAGCCTAGGTGTTTTTACATGTTTTTGTTATATATCTCAGTGCTCGTTGACCTGTTTTTTTTCATGCAAAGGAGGGGGGGGCAGGCTCAGTCAATCCAGGCTGGACACTAGTGATCTCTAACGATATTGAAAACGTGAATCCATGCCGAAGGCCGCGGACGTGATCGCACTGGAGCAAGAAGTAGCTCGTTTGCGAGGCCCTGCAGGGAGCAAAGAAAACCTCAGGTCATCATTCAGGGCGCCTTCAAACTGTGTCCGTTCATTTAGGAAGGTTTTTGCAGAGTGCGCATTGTATGTACAGTATACACACATCTTCACAATTATGATATATTGGTATCATGTAATTTCATTCAGCCATTAGGCGCTTTTGATTCTTTACATGATAGTTTGATATAGTTTGATCATGTTTGATCAACTGCGTTTCAACCTAGCGCAGATTCGCAACAAAAGCTCATCCATCGTCATCCGTCGCCGCACCAGGCATCGTCAACAGTTTTGAAGCCCAGAAGGATCACAGTCCTGACCTTGGCAAAGCTTGGCAAAGACCAATGCTTCCAGCGTTTTCCCCCTTACAGAACGGATAAATTGAACACATTCCGTGTCTATTTTTTCATCGTTTCCCAATGGCATCCAATGGCAATTACACAGCGCATTGAGTTTCTATGAGTTTCTCTGTTTTTTGACGCGTAGATTTTCGCAACTTGCAATTGCATTCTGGTGCCGAGTGAGAGGACAGGGGGAGCGGGTGCACTCAATCATTGAGGTTTGGGGCTTCAAGAAGTGCAGCAACACAAGTGTGCTGTTGATGTTGAGGCAGGAGAAGTTGCAGGTGCTGTTGCGACATACATCTTAGTCGGGTCACATGATTTGAGTTGCCCTTTGCATCCATAGCAATGCCTTGGCTTGCTTGTCGTTCATTCGGCGCACTTGACAGCAGCTTACGTTCCTTGAGTAAGCACTGGCACAAAGCGGTGAAAAATTAAGCCTGAAATTATATAATCAATTCCAGTTTTGTTGGAGTTGGTTTGTTTTTTTTGTGTGTTGGTGACTTTGTGTGGTCGTGGCCAAACCAAATTCCCTGCGCAGTATTTGGCTACCATTGTGTTTGGATGTGTTTGGGTAATTTTTCTTCATTTGGCCCAGCTGCTTTCCCATGATTTCTCTCATTTGTTTCTCACCATTGCCATTTGCCAGTCTATGACAGGTGCAGACTCAGAACGCCTCAAGCAGCGCAGGAGTTTCCGCACAGGGGCATTTCTCAAAACTTCATTCGCATTTAGGCCAAGCGTTGAAACTGGGACGAAGCATATACTGTATTCGGGTGATCTTTCGTGCAATGTACTTAAAGTTGCTCTGATAATTACTGTACATGTAAAAATGTAACAAATGTTGATTTGTCTATCTCATGGTTAATTTTTATGACATGAATATTTGTTTGCACATGAAAATGCTGTGCAATATGCTCCGGGTTCTTGGGCTGGAGACTGGAGTGCTCGTTCTGTCCGCAGGGGAGTGGATGGGAGTGGTTAGAGTAGGGCTGAAGCATGGCTGAAGCATGCGGGACATCAGAAAATCTCAGAAAGCTCTTTGGCCGCCATCCTTTTTATTCCTTTCAAGGATCCTGATGTGCTGATGAGCGGCATTCCCCTTCAGCCCTTGGTGATGCTTCAGCAACATCTTGCATTTTGCACCAAATTGATCCACATTGATCCAAATTGCACCTTTGGCCGAGGAGACTTTCCAGAGGCATGTGCCGATGACAACGCGGACACTTGCGAGGCTGTTGTTGAGTCAGATCATGCAGAAGATCGAGACATATCGAGACATGACACACATTGAGACTGACACTGCAATGATAATGTAGTAACTACTGTAGTATCAAGACTGGTGACAAGGCCCAGCGGATCCAGCTTGACTGCTTGCACCAAGAAGTTTGCCTCTGAGAAGCTTTGAGAAATCAAAGGAACAAGTTCAGGAAAAGGTGAACATGTGCTTGACTTTTTTGCACGAAGAACGAGGAATATAAATAAATAAATAAAGAATATATGATATATGTGAATATAGTGAATGAATGATACGTGATGTGGATGTGTTTTGGTCGTGCACAGGGCAGAACGGTATCTGAGTTTGTGTAAGGTTTACAAATGTAAATAAACCCGATTAAACCCGTGTGTGTGTGTGTGCAAAGCGCGGAAAAAAATGGATGTATGTATAATACTGTATAATCACTTGACATTTCATGGTAATGAGAACTGTGTGCACGATCAACGCATATGGTCATAAGGTGGGTGACAAGAGTCGCGAACTGCGCAGATCACAGGACACCGCAAGGGCCTTGATAAGTGCAAAGAGTGGCGCAGTTTTTGTCATGAAAAATGCCGAATGATACACAACAACAACAATACTGGGTACATAATAATATATAATAATATATAATAATACAATGATACAAGATTCATGTCTTCAGATTCTCCAGCCCTCATTACAATTTAATAGCCTTTATCATTTCAGCTTATTACTTCAGTTTGTCTCATGCTCAGTGACTCAGTGGCCTTTCGAATTCAAATGCGCCGAGTGGCCATGGAGGGCCTGCAGGCGGCAGGATGTCAGAGTGAAATCGGTTAGTTAAATACTGTATTTAATTAAGATAATATATGGCTAGAATTGACTAGATAGCAAGCTGTTTGATCAAATTATAGTTAGTTAGACAATGCTGTGCAAGCTGTGCATCGTACATAGCTGTCCTGTAAGTATCCTTAGGGCTCGACTCTCCATGTGTTTTACTACTGTATTGGGAAGATCCGAGTTTTCAGCCTTCACACTTGCCATACTTCTAGTGGCGCCTGGCCTAGTCTGCCTAGCCAAGCGTGCCAAGCGTGCCAAGCGTGCTTAGGTGAGGCTTCTACGGTCTGAGTTGAAGCAGCAACATGAGGCTGGGCTGGGGCTCTGAAGCAAAGAAGCACTTCTAGTGTTTAATGAAAACCCGCGAAGCTTTGCAGACAGAATAAAAGCATGGATGACTCAGCATGAAGCCGATGAAGCGCTTATGAAGCTGTCTCAAGAGCGTTGTCAGTGCAACTATGCGGAACCATGTGGAGCTACGCAGATGATCCGCAGATGGATCTTCAAGACTCTTCAAGATTTGCCGCTTGAAGCAAGGTCTCGGAGCAATATCGTTTGCAAGCTGAGATGTTAGAGGAGGGGAGCAGCGGTTGATGGTGGATGCAAACGCGCCCACTCCTACCGCAGTTGGTCAATGTATGTCAATGTTGATTCATGGATCCAGAGCCAGGGCCATTGTGGACCCTAATTACAGCAATTTGAAAGGATTCGAGCAGGGTATTGGGCAAGGTGCTGAAATTACATGAAATTACCTTCAATTTTTGCACATTTTGGCAGAGTCCACCCGGACAAGACTGGCTGAAAGGGTTCTACAAGTCTACGAGTTCCTTCTATATAAATCTAGGTAGGTAAATATTTGAATTTGATCGGCAAAAATTCAAAGATTTCATTAATGGTCGTCACTCTACTAAAAGCGGGTGGTCCATAATACCAGAATATACTGCCAATATCTGCCAATCACATGCAATCACTGCTGAGATTGAAAGAGAAAAAATGACCAACGCATTCCCCAAATGTCCCTGATAGGAACAGCTTTCCCGATCAAATCAGCGCGTGCGTGAGCTAGAGACGAAAGTGGCAGAGGCCGCGAACACAAACACATAATGGATCATGAATGAACATGATACATAGACCATCATAGGCCAAAGGCAACATGAGGCAAGATGGGGCAGTTTTCACTGCGCTTGCCATCACCTGACCATTTGTTCATCACTTTTTGGAAGGTTGATTACGGTTGATTGGATTTCAGGGTTTTTTCAATGTTTTTCATGTTTGGTTTTGCTCTTTCCTTGCAGGCAGCGCAGCTGTCCAGGCCGAACTCTTAAATCCTCTGATGAGAGTGGCGGCTGCAGATACAAAGCACACAAAGTCACGAAGAGTTCACAAGTTGGCATCACAAGCGGACCAACATTTCTTGCGTAGCGAGATCGAGGGACCCACTTTATTGACTTTATTGCTTCAAGTTGGTTGAATTTCAATGCATTCTGTCTCACAGGCCTCGGGAGTGCGAGAGGCCTTTCTCTGCTCAATTGCCAAGGTCTTGGAAGGACTTCTCAGCACGCATAACACTGCGCGATACGGTGGGAAATGAATATTGTGAGACATCTCCAAACAAGGCTTCTCAATCGAGGTGAGCCAGGCTATGCCAGGCTATGGCACAACATGGCACAACATGGCACAACTCTTATCAACTCTTCAGTATATTTCAATATTCTTGCAGAATATTTCTATCATATTTCTGAATTATCTGAATTGAACCTCCGAACCTCCTAGATTCCTCCTACCTGTAGCACCGCAGTGCTGCTCGATTTTTCAGAGCCGTCAACATTGTATCGGCTCGTGGGGTGCAATATGGTGCAACCTTCTCAACATTTCTCAACACAGACGATAACAAGCCAGACGGACCGCACAAACGCGCACAGCGTGCCACTGAGGAATCATGCAGCCAACGCGGCTTTCAAGTTGCGTGAGTTGTGTAGCTGCTTTCAGGTACCATGGTCGGATACGGCCGGTGGATTTCCTGACTTGTGATCGCTCTTCTGCCTCTACTGCATGCTCCTGCCAATCCTGGTGCTAGCTGCTAAGTGAATCTAAGTAACCTAAGTGTCTCCCTTTGGGTCACGGTCAGAGACCAGAAGCCAACAGAAGGACGCAATGTTCACCAATTTTATCCTGAGAAGTTGGCCAACTGTGCAGAATTCTGTAAGGTGCACACCACGCTGACAAACAATTACTGTAGCATCAAGATGGGTCAGCATTTTTCGCATATCGATGCAATTGTTTTTATATCCCCTTACGAATTTCCTCTATAAAATTG